CCAAAGTTGTTTTCTAGTATTGTGGAAGATTTCCTATGTTAAGGTCCAGGCAAAACAAGGGTTTCCTACTGATGGTGGGAAGCACACCTACTGCAAAATTACAGTGTACTAGTTAACATTGGATTATATCAATGATGAGTCAATAATGAGTACATTTATGTACTGCATTAAAATTTATCAATGACATTTGTGTACTGCATTAAAATTTACAGAGCATTTTCTTGAAACCTCTCACTTGAGAGAATTGTTGGAATTGGGCAAACCACACTGACTCCATCTTGAGACTCAATTTTGGATCTAGCTCGGTTCCCTTTTTATTCAATTATGGGTTTACTCCAATTTCTGTCCTGTGAGAAAACTTTATTCAATCGTGGGAATTATGAGAAAACTTACTGCATTGTTTGAACCTAGCCCTCTGTGGCTGGGAAGCTGGACCACCTTTACCTGTTTGCTTAGAGACACTTAACTAAGGACCTAAGTTATGCTGACCAGAAACCTAATCAGATCCAAAGACTGATGCAAGGAGTTTTCTCACAGTTATATATTTCATGTAACCCACATGTCTTATCTGAAAACTGGCCCCATACTGGTCAATCAATTACTGTTTCCTTGTTTCTTTGATTGAATGCAGACATTGGGGGTGGAGGGTGGGGAGTGGAACACCTTGTGTTCTGATTCAGGGAATTATGCTTTTTTCTTCTCCCCCTCTCAATGTAGAAAGCCACTACTCTTTCCTCTAATTAGAAATCAGATGACCTAATCTTGTATCCTGTTTTATATCCTGTTAATATATCCTGTTATATCCTGTTTTCTTTTAATGCATAAAAATCTGTCTTTCCCTGTATTTAGGGTCCAGTGACAAGCTGAGGAGGCCTAGTCCTGATTTGTTATGCAATTGGCATGCATTGCTCACTAAACTGATATGCTTAGAAGCTCAAACCTTTGTTTCTTCCACTATTTTAAATTACACCTGTCACATATTCATTCAGTCACTCAGGAATCTGATAGGCACTTGAAGATCATCCTCCTTAGCAAAATTCTGTTATACAAAAGAGATTAGATTAACAACCCATAGTAGATAATTTTAATTCAATTTTATCCAACAAGCATTTATTAAATGCCTATGTGCCAGGCACTGTGGCCCTACAAAGATGAAGACTAAAATAATCCCTGTCCTTTTAGCCCTTATACTTACTAGAGGAGTACATGAAAACAAATAAGAAAATACAAAACAGTTTAGGAGAGGGGTCACTAACAAACGGGGAATTTTTTTTTTTAAGGCAATTGGGGTTAAGTGACTTGCCCAGGGTCACACAGCTAGTAAGTGTCAAGTGTTTGGTCTGAGGCCATATTTGAACTCAGGCGCTCCTGACTTCAGGGCTGGTGCTCTATCCACTGCACCACCTAGCTGCCCCTACAAATGGGGAATTTAGACAAGGGCTCGTATGGCTCTTCAGCTGAACCTTGAAAAATATGAGTGATTCCAGGAGGTAGAGTTGAAGAAACAGAGTATTCCAGGGATGGAGGAAAGCCTACGCAAAAAGAGGTGAGAGGTGGAATGTCATGGCTAGTGGACAGCAAATAACTGGAAATGGAGACTGTAGTCATATTTTGATAGGCTTTAAGTGACTAAAAGTTTGTATTTTATCCTGGAAGCAAAAGGGAACCACTAAAGTTTCTTGAGAAGGGGAGTGACATGGCCAGACTTGTACTTTAGGAATGTCAACTTGGTAACTATGAGGAGGGAGGATTGGAGAGGAGAAAGACCGGAGGTGCAGGTGCAAGCTATTGTAGTAATCCAAGTGAGAGGGGTAAGGGCCTAAACTAGAGTAGAGGCCATGTGAGTGGAGAGAAAGCTATCCCTTTCTGTTACCTATATCATGGTAAGCAACTAGATGGGTTACCTGATAGATTAGTCCATCAACAAGTGCGGCTTCAACTCAACAAGCATGTCAGTAAGTCAATATAACATTTATTAAACACCTACTATGTGAATACAGATACTTGGGGGGGATAACACCTCCTTTTCTGATTTCAAGAAAGTGCACCTGTTTGCTCTCCCCCTCCCAACTTGGGAAGCTTCTAATATTTTCTCCTAATAAGAAATCAGATGACCTAATCTTGTATCCTGATTTATATCCTGTTAATTGTTTTAATTTAATGCATAAAAATCTGGATCCCCTTGTATTCAGGTCCAGTGACAAGCTGAGGAATCTTGGTCTCAATTTGTTATGCTATGTGCTAAGTTCTGGGGTCTTAGGTATCTACTCTGTGCCAGGTGTTGTATTAGGTGCTGAGGCTACAAAGTGGAAAACAACACATTCCCTGCCCTCAGGATGCTAACAGTCTACTATGGGGAATATGACATGTAAAGAAATAAATAAATGGAACATAAGAATATGATAGGAGTAGAAGAGAAATACAAAGTGCTATGGGAGGCTCAGAGAAAGCTTCATGGAGAAGTTGGTACCTGAAGGAAGAGAATAATAATAAGAGCTGATACATGATTTTCAAAGCATTTTACATACATTAGTTTTATGTTAAGCATTTCAATGGGTTGGGGTATGGACAGAAAGTGCTCTAGCCATGACAGAGACAGAGTGGTACAGGATGAGATCAGGGAAAAGCCAGGAGTCTAGTCCAGTTAGAACACAGAGTACAAAAAAAAGGGGAATATAAGAAAAGATGGAGATGGAGAATGAGCTGCACCCAGAATTGAGTAGGAGGAGGAAATCGGGCTGAATTATATTTGAGAAATTTCCTAATGATCCTCAAATGCTTTCTGTGTCAAAAGCTCATTTTTTCCACAACAACATATAGTCTTGCAATAATATTATATGACTGAGAATTAGGGAATGTCACAGTCTTTGAAGAATTAAAATCACAAATAACTCAAAGAATAATGGCAGGACTGATAGTGCACATAATCAAGCTGCAGCATGTTAACAATGACTTGATTGCTAGAATTGGTATAAAAAACATCAAAGGTCAGCATAATAGGAGGTAGCATTTAAATAAAACTTTAAGGGTTGAAAAGCACTTGGTATATATTATCTCATTTTGTCCTCACAATAATCCTGGGAGGTAGGTACCATTCTAATCCTCATTTCACAGATGAGAAAACTGAGGCTTGCTGCTTTTTGTCCTTTGTTCTCGAAGAGGACCATGACATCAGGGAGGTGATGCCATGACATATAAGTGAATTGGATTTAAGTGAGGGAGGGCTGTGCAAAGTCACCAGCCTCACTTTCTCCTCTAGAGCCATCTGGGTCCAGTGGCCAGATATAGGTCTGGACAACTAGAGGTGGCACCAGATGCAGTAGGGGACCATGGCCTTTTCAAGCTAAGGTCTTAAACATCTCAGTTTGACTGAGGCAGTGCCCATTCGATAATTAAGGCTTAATAAAAAATGAGGCAAAGAATGGCCTCTTTAAAAAAAAATAGATCTGGGATCGGAAGACCCTTAGAGTTTCTGGTCAAAACAGAAACAATTGTTATTTACATTCATTCTGAGCCAATCAGGGCCCAAACAGTGACCAAGCATGGCTTGGTCTGGGACCAGAGTGATTTGGGGTTAAGGCTGGTCTTTAAGAGAAAAAAACAAAAAGAAAAGTTTCAGAGATTAAAATTTACATTCCCTTTGGGCAGAGCATCAGCAGGTAAGGGTGTGGTACCCTATGTGGAGAGAAAAGAAACAGAAGAGAGAAAGAGAGAGAGAGGAGAGAGAAAGGAAGGAAGGAAAGAGAGAGAAAAGAAAGAAAGAAAGAAAGAAAGAAAGAAAGAAAGAAAGAAAGAAAGAAAGAAAGAAAGAAAGAAAGAAAGAAAGAAAGAAAGAAAGAAAGAAAGAAAGAAAGAAAGAAAGAAAG